TTTCTTGTTGTCACTATTCATCTTAATTAGCATTGTTCTACTTACTATATAATTAAACTTTCAACGCTTTGTACAGTAATCAACTGAAGATGACAGGAGTTTCTGTCAAAACATGTTTTACAGACTCAAAAGTTTGGTCGCTTTCTTTAAAATCATAATTTATAACAAGCTGTCCTTAACGTGCATTTGATTGGTTCTTATTTATGATCTATTGGAAGAGAGACGCGTAGATGACATCACCATTAAAAAATTTTTCCTAATTCCTTATTCGTTATCACAGAAAACAAATAGATTCCATGTTGCCGTGCGTCTGTCCAGTAATTGATCAAAAAAGACGTTAAAATGTGATATGGTTTTGTGAAGTGCCATCACTTCTTCCTTGATGCCTGGTTGCTGAAAACAAGAGTCAGATGCTGGGGATGTTACTTCACAAACATTTGTGAATCAGGAATTTGCTCGAGCTTCAATAACAAGGGAAAAAAAAACAAGGCATGTACTATGCCGGAATTTATTAAGTCAGCATATACATTTGTTATACAAGAGAGAATACTTCAGTCTTGAAAAATATCATGGGGAAAGTTGATGCTTCAAAAGACTCTAAAATTTTTAATTTTTTTTGTTTCACTCCCTGGCTTGGCCAACCGGTCATACTCTTATCCTCAGTAATTTATCATACTGGTTAGTCCAACACAGATATCATACAAGTCGGCACGTTGAACTGTAAACGACATCAAGTGACACGTCAGAGGAGATGTAATTAAATCGTTTTTAGTAGTGGAATGTAACTGTAAAAAACAAAAACATGTAACAAGCTAAAGAAAAACGGAAATTATAGTTAGTCATTCATTCTTTAGTGTGTATAACGACCCCAAACTATCGCCAGTTCCTCGCGCAGTCGAAAGAAGGGTACAAAAAACTCGCTTCCAAGTCAAGTGAAATTGTGTTTTTACATTACTTTTAAAGAGTCTTGATGAAGTATGTAATGAGTACTGAGACTCCCTATTTGGATAAGGTATTTATTGATTACCTCATGATTAGGGTAAAAAATACCGTCAAATTTTGGGACGGCGATTTCAATAAG